GGGGGGGGGGGGGGGGTCAGTCGATAGAAATCTAACTCTGACACGTAAGGTAGGATTTTCAAAAACAAACTTTTTAAAAAAAAATTCAACCGACTTCAAAAAGCACAAAAAGTCACTACACTAAAAAGCGAAAAATAACAAAATACAGCTTCAATCCAAAAGCCACACACAACAATACACGTAATACGTTTTATTTATTTTTGTCTTATTTCGTTTAGTATACACTATTATAATTACTTATTAATTAATCTATCTGCATTTATGATTTCTGTAAACAATTACAACGTTACAATTCTTGTCCAAACCTATTACCTATAATTAAAATAAAATATTATTATTGGTTTATATATAATAATATATATATATATATATATATTGTGACGTGAATTTCGGAAATTCAGTCACAAAGATTGCTAGGAGTAGGGAAAAGACACTATCCACCGGCAACGATCTTCCAAACGTCAGTCACCCGACATTCCAAAGACGGCTTTGCTTGTCTCGCTTATCGTTTAGGCACTCTGTTTCCGCCTATCGTCCTTTCTGCTTATTTCTGTTCCGCCTTTCTGCTTTTTTCGTTTTTATTTTTTATTTTCGAGCTTTCCTATTCGCACTCGCTTACCTTCTTTACCGTCCTGGGCGAATCTACGTCGATACCACGAGCACGAAGCTGACCGCCAATGAGAGTTCCTGAGCTATCGGACGAGCGATCGACAGAGGCTAGACCAAACTCTTGTTCGTTCCGGAGGACTTCCGTGGAGCCAGGGAGGCCCGGGATGGGATCCCTCTACTACTTCTGCCGGCCGCCCATACGGACCGCCAAAAAAAGGGCCTTCGCCACTCGTGCCGCCGATAGGAGGAAAGGATAATCCTCTATCGTGCCGCCCAGTCGCCGAACGTTCCCTAACGCTCCTGTTATCAGTGGCCCCCGGAGAAGAAACTAGGGCCTACTCTTCGCTGGATCTTGCTGCTCGCACCAAGGACTCACGATCCGCCGCACTAAGGATTCCCGCGCTCAGCTCGGCCCTCTCCGCCTATCTTCGGACTCGAGCCGCCTAATGCTTCATCTCTGGCTACTATCAAGCGTTAGATTTACCTATTCTGTATTATTATATTTTGCTATCGCTCTACCATGCGAATTATAAATTATTAATTTATGGAGGGGGGCCCCTAGGGCTCTTCCTCTAGCGACGAATTCCGGCTCGTTCACTTCCGTTTGGAGCATCTTAGCCAGTGGTTGATTGTAACAATTGTTAAAGTGAACAAAGACGAACCGAATTCGACTGACTGAAATTGCGAAGCGAAACCAAAGACTAACCGATATCGAGTGGAGGATAGTATATAGAGAAGGAAGGAAGGAAGTCTGAGGACCGATTTCCTCGATCCTATATCTGATGTAGTTGGTGAGCACTTTCCGTTACCTTTATTTTGGAGATTTCGTAAACTTATCTGAGTTAATCCCGTCTAGGCTCTTTGACCTAGACACATGAAACTACGAAGCGGAACACTTTGACACCCTGGACTTCCACATACGACACAAATGCGATGGACGTGCGAAGACGACGACGACGACGACGACGACAACGACGATGACGACGACGACGGAACTGAAATAAAATCATCTCGCTCGCCATTTCAATACGCCCTGATCTCGTACACTAATCGTATTGAATTTGGTGGCAATCGCTTCAGAACCTTCAATTCCTATAGTGAATGTATCAATAACTTTTCATCATATATAGCGGTTCATAAGATATTTCATTCCAAACACAGGTATAAGGAGTTGACTCGAGTAAAAAGTCTCGGCGCGCTGTGCCCTGTACAGCCGGTTGCCTGTACTTGGCGCGAGACTCGACCGAGTCTCTTGAATCGTTGCGAATAAAATATATTTTTTTTTCTTATGTGAATGTCGCGCAAGACAAATGAGACTACCCTACAGCCAATATTTAAATATCTTGTAACTGCAAATGGTTAATTGTAGATTACGAGTGGATCTTTCGTCTCAATTATCTAGTGCTTCATATGGGGAGGATCAATCTGAGATCTCTCGCAGGTCACTCGATAATCTACAAATGATCTATAAATGATCTCTCCGATACTTGTGCTATACATCCGTCCTTCTGGAAAGTGGGGAAGAGCTGCAATTTGGTGTGTATATCCTGGGAATGAAATAAAGACGTCCGGATTCCTTCCGTTATAATCAATTTCTCCAGAGGGCTGTCAAGTAGCGTTAATGGATTAGGGATTATTTTTCGGACATTCCTAGGGAGGAGGGGGGGGTCCCTCCTCTAGCTCTGTAAGGCCACATTGCAACTCCTCCGCCCTTAAACGCGAGATGCGGGTACAGAGCATCTCATCAAGCGTAATCCTTGCTACTCAGAATTTGCTTGGCCAACCACCTCTACCACGCCGGTAGCTTTCGTAATGTAAAGTGACTTCACGCCATCGCAGACAACGGAATTTGGATTAGCCCGTGCAATTGTCTAATTTACTACTCATTGCCAGTAAGACCGGACCCTATCTCTGCAGAGACGGGATTCTACTTGACTCTACAAGATGGTCATACCCAACTTTCGCTCCACTAGAACACTACTGCCCATGCATCCTGTTCAGCACCTCTCCCTCTCCCTTCCGCTGATCGGAACTTGGGCATCGATCATAGGCTCTATATTGGGCGTCATTTGTAGCCCGCGTGTAACGTCAGTGTATGTATTGTGACGTGGTGGATTTCACCCGTCTTGTCCTCGGCGGAAAATCACGCCGAAACGCGATACGGGCCTAAAAGACCATTGCAAAGTCCAGGCAGGATCCACCGACCGCAAGGGCCTAATTTAAATTACGATAGATTATTTTATTATTTTTCTTTTGTTTGGCGTGTACTCTGCCGGAGTTCGAATAGATGCTCACTCGCCGTGCCCGTGTAGACGCGGAGAAAGAGAGAGGGAGAGCCAGCTGGAGTCCCAGGAGGAAGGGAGCTGCGACACACGAGGGTCGACACTCGCGCTATCTGCAGACAGCAGCTCTACTGGCCCAGGAGGCGCGCGCAACGCGGGACAGCTTGACGTCACGCGGCAGCAACGCGTTCTACTCAGCTGGTACTCAACCACGACGACTGGAAGCGGCGTACACAGCGCCACCCGACTGAGCACCACTACCGACCCCTATGGCATACCGCCCATCGTCAGTTTGCGCATAATTATATTTTCCCGAGTTGGGATTCCAGAGGCGCCTGGTGCACCCTCGCGCGAGAACGAATGTTACTCTTCGTAGGACCAGGATGTATGAATTGTCTACAAGATATGATGGAAATTATTAATTGTCGCGATGACATATTCGAAACTGGCGCGTGGCAAAGACGCTGGGTTGAAGGATTCGTCCGCAGGGCGAATCGCCGCCCATTAGCCTAAAGGGAGGGGGTGCTATCCTTCACGCGAAGACAAAGCGCGTGAAGATCGAGAGATTTCTGCTTGGACACGCGTAGACGTTAGACGTTTTTGTTCGATTGGAATTTGTGAGTACGCGAGTGCACTGAGTGCCATTGGGCTGACGTTTTGGTTTTCTGGAATTACGCGACAAGGGAACACCACGGTAAGCGAGTCTAACTGACTTTTGCGAGCGACGTAACTTCGTGCAAATCTTGGTACCGAATTTTGTTTGCTTTTGTAAGTTTTGACCGCGCGTGTAACGGACACGCGGAGGGACGATCCCTCCCCCTCGAATTAGACCAAGGCACGAAGGTCCGTCGAACGGCAGGGAACTTGTTTAGAACTTTTGTTTTGATCTTATTATCGAATTAGAATTTCGTAACGTCTCCGAATTATTTCTTGTCGTCCGCCCGTCAGGCATTTATAACTTTTGATTTTGTAACGCGTGGAACGCGTACAGGTCCTTGACGGTCGGTCATCATATTGTGGTAAACGCGGATTAGCCGCGTTACGACTTTGGCTTTGAATCGTACGGTACGCGAAGTACCCGTTACTATCTTTTGATTGTACTTTGGTTTTGTCTTTTCGATCTATATTAATTATTATTTTTTTTTGTAACTCATCGATTCGGTATTGTACAAAATCGTCGCGCTTCGCGCCGCCCATTTTCTTTAATAAACCGAACCATTTATTTGAGATCGAAGTGTCCGAATGATTTTGTGTGTCGCGTGATCGTCTGACCTATCCGACCTATTGTTCCGAACCCCGACGCCTCCGCGTAGCTGAGTTAGCCAACGTAGGCACGCGAAGACAAACTGTAGAAATTGATAAGTGGTTCCCGTTTTGGAACCTGGCGCCCAACAATACCTTAGGTATTTCGAGAGTAAAATTTGTTAGCCCCGGGGTTACCTGGAACGCATAGGAATCGCGTAAAGTTGTGCGCCGGTCGGCTTGCATTTTCCGGTGAGGTCGATCGCGTAAAAATACGTCACAGTATGTACGGCAGCGTGTATCTCAAAAACCAATGTACACTGAAAATAATCGTAAGCGCAGAAAAATCAGAAATCGGACATGCCTATATTTCTGCCGACACTTCGCTCTAAATGGCCAACTTTAAACGACTCTAGATTGAAAACTAAGCACTTCTTAATAAAAGGAAGATCACTTTCATGAACAGCGATATCCCCCCGAATAGCACTGTACGCCATGAATAAAGCAATTTAGGGACACTCGGTATATTAGGTATTGATACTATAATGTCTGCTGTTTATTCAGTGATGAAACTAACAGACAGTAAGTGGAACTTACCTGATTGGATAACTAATCGGTTCAAAAGTGACGCTCTTCGAAGGTCTATCGGTGTTTAATTTTGAAAGAATAAGTCTGCAGCATGCGCCAACCGGAGATAGTTCTTTCACAAAAAGGTCATCGCATAGAATTCTATCACCCCTGAAAGCAAAATATTTTAAATATAGACGTACATGTTAGTGTTAGTTTTCTATTAGTAGGATTTCCAACGCGTTATACCTCAAGGTATCTCCTAAACCAGCTTAACTAATTAAGTGTTAATCCATCTGACTAACTCTACTACCAAGAAAACGTCGCACCTTAGCGAGATGATTTTATTTCAGTTCCGTCGTCTTCACATTTCCAAATACTTTTTTTTTACATAACAGATGGCGCTGGTTAAGAAACGCGGTTGAGTCTTCGCCAAGTACAGCAAACCAGCGTACAGGCAAGGCGACGAAGCAAGTTATGTAACTGAGCGTCATTACAGCAGTATGATCAGGAATCGATTTCCAAGATTAAAATATGAAATAAATTTTAAAACCGTCTCCGTCGGGTACTCTCCTCTGCCGGGCAACTCGGTACGTTGAGACTATCTCCCCACGGCAGATTCGAGCACCTCGACCTCAACTAAACAATAACGAAATCTTACGAGAGCCTTGACATAACTGTACGAATCAACCCGAGAGCGTAGCTTCTGAGCAGGGTGGCGACCTGAAGGGAACCAGAAATCGAGAACGTTATCTGTATCGGTAACCGGAACCGCCTTGGGACCGTGATTTGAAAAATCGCGTCACAAGTTTTATTAATTATTAAATGAGGATTAAATCATAATCAACTACAGGAAGCAGTAGTAATGTAAAAGAGTAGTGAAAACGTTATAGGAAATTTTGAAAATACAATTAAAATGATGGGCCTGTGCTAGATCATATAATAGGCAAACATGTAGTGACTTATGTACTTGGCCTCAATAATCTGATATCAATACTTCTTATTAGAGGAATGTACAGCAGTCCTGTACTAGGCGTAGTTTTTTACACGTAACTGTTTTTTTGGGGTATATCACAAGTTTTTGTTGCTCAACGGGACATAGAAGCTCTAAGCACTGAAGTCAATATTTTCACAGATATAAAATGTAAATGCATTGTGCTGTCGCTAATCAGAAAAATATATTGCGTTGTCGAAAATGTTTAATGGTATATAAATTTAATTTATAAGTCTATTTTTTTTAGAAATGCATAAAGATATACACACATTTTGAATGAAAATGTAATCTTGAATGTATATAAGCGTCGTTAATGGTGTCCAGCTTGTTAAAGCCGTGTAGTAAACGTAAGAGAGGAGAGCGCGCTGGATTATTTATGTACCTCAGCCCATGCAAACAATCGAGGGGATGCTATGGTTCGAGCGTCAGGCCAAAGCCTCGCTAGTTGCACACTTTCCTGGACACCATCGACTTCCACGCCCAACACCTAAATACAGGAAACTAAGAGTGGAACACCTGGACACCCTGGACTTCCATGACTGGCACCTAGATACAGGAAACTACGAAGAGGAACACATGGATACCCTGGACCTCCAAGTCCGACATCTAGATACAGGAAATTACAGAGAGGAATATCTGGATACTCTGGACTTCCATGTCCGACGCATTAATACAGGAAACTACGGAGAGGAACACCTGAACATCCTATATCTGTAAAAACTGTCACCTAAAATACGAGGAACTATTTCGAAGGACACGCATACGTACACCCATACACACGTGCTCCGCATGAATGCTATTAACTATTCTGAAATTTATACTAACTGGAAATGCGGTGTAAATGGTAGCTTCACGTATAAAGTGTGTTTGATTGTGTTGTGACTCGTAAATTATCAACACCATCCAGAATACAAATAGGTAAGGAAGACAAAGCAGTCAGCGACATCTGTCGTGTAAAAAAGTAGATGGATGTGCGAAGACGACGACGATGACGACGACAACGACAATGGACCTAAAATAAAATCATCTCGCTCGCCATGTGAATACGGCCTAATCTCGTACACTAATCGTATTGAACTTGGTGGCAATCGATTCAGAACCCTCGATTCCTATAGTGAATGTATCAATAACTTTTTCTCATACATTGCCGTTCATAAGTTATTTGAGTCAAAACACAGATACAAAAGATGCTTCGAGTAAAGAGTCTCGGCTGGCCGTGCCTTGTACGGCGGGTTGCCTGTACTTGGTACGGAACTCGACCGAGTCTCTTGATACGTCTGACGTATCATTAGCCATTGTTAAGGTAAAGGATCTGCGAGTTGAATGCAACATCACTACGGGTGCTTGTATCAATAAACGTAAAGTGCACACCATACACGAATTCTTTCCTGTCGTAGTATCCAGATACTGCAAGATCATGAAGGTGTCATCGTACGTCATTTATCTACCGATCGGTACCAAGACGGTAGATCCCCTGCAGCTTCGAATAGTCGATGAAGACGGAGACCTGGTCAACTTTCAAGGACAAATCGTAACGATAAGACTGCACATTAGGTCGATATGATCATGAGATTCGTGTATAATAGAAAGATTGACAGTGGCTATAATAGGAACCCAGTATGCCGAAAAGCGATCAGCCGTCGACCATTTCTTGAAACGCTCACATGTCAAAACGTGTTACATATTTCTAAAAAATCTGGAACTCAATGTCCGTTCGGAAGAGAAAAATGAAACATTCACTTTGCTGCACTGTTTTCGTCTGCTACGTACCAAGTTTACCATGGAAGAAGAAACGTTATATATTGAGACGTTTCGTGATTTTGGAGTCTTAGGAATGACGAGACTTTCTATGGGGTTTGTGCACTGGTAAGGCGTCTTCAGAAACAATTAGACACTGGAGTTTCTAAAATAAAAGATAATGATATATTGTTCTATAAGTTACAGACTAGGTATCTTTAATATTCTATTTTGTTTCTTTCACACGCATTCACACACTTTATAATTGTATCTCGTTTGATAGTCGTATCGTAGGCGACAAGAAGTGTTTTTGTGTACGTATTCTCTCTATTAGCCTTTTGGAATGGAAAGAGGTAGCTGGAACCACAATACAGCAGATTGCACAGTGCGTCCGAAGACCGTGGTCCAGTTGAAGGTAAGGGTGATAATGATTCGGGACCCACAGGTGATCACAATGATCCCCGTTCGCCGAGCCAATTATCTTTGGAGTGGGGATGAGAGTGCTATCACCACAATGCAGCAGAGTGCACAATGCGTCCGAAGACTGTGGTGCAGCAGCGGTCGGGAGAGTGAGGATTCAAGACCCACAGATGATCACAATGACCCCCGTTCGCTGAACTATTTAACTTAGGGAATAGGAAAGAAGGAGCTGGGGCCACAATACAGCAGAGTGCACAATGCGTCCGAAGACTTCGGTCCAGCGGGAAACAAGTATTGTGAAGATCAGAACCTACAGATGGTCACAATGACCTCCGTTCGCTGTATCTTCACTTCGGAAGGGTTTTTGGTGATGTGGATTTTGGAGAGTAGCAGACAGCGCCGGCACTATGACGTTCGCTGACGTCGAATTTTGGATAGTAGAAGTCTTCCTTGAGTATGTGGTAGCATTTTTATGCTCCTATGTGTCCATATACCTCGTGGCATTCTTTGATGATTGCATCTACCTTTTGTTCTGGTATCATGGCCTTCCATGTTTCATCTTGATTTTTGAAGACGATGTCATTGATTATTTTGTAGGGTTCTTCCCCAGAGTCTTCCTTCTCTAGAGTTTCTTGAATCTGCTGGAACTTTGGATCCTTTTTCTGATGCTCTGCGAGTTTCTCCATTATTTCTATAAAGTTTTCTGATAGTTGTCTAGCTAATCTGTTGATTTGGATTACTTTCTTACTCTTTCTTCGTTCTTCTTGCCCCGGTCTGCTGAGGGCGTCTGCTACCATATTCAGTTTTGCTGGGCAGTGTTTGATCTCGACGTCGTAGTCTTGAATGGCTAAGATCAATCTGGCGAGTCTAGCGCTGACTAGTCGACAGTTCTTCAGGAGTGAGAGAGCTAGGTGATCCGTAATTATGAAGATCTTTGCTCTCAAGAGGTAAGTGGGGAATTTCTACAGCGCCCATACTATGGCCAGATTTTCCTTCTCTGTGGTGTAATAGCCAATTTCGGCCCCTTTTAGAGTACGGCTGGCAAAGCATACTACTTTACCTTCTCCATCTTTATTCCTCTGGAACAATACTGCTCCTAGTGCGTAGTCGTTTGCGTCCGTCTGGAGATAGTATGGCTTCCTTTGGTCTGGGTAGTGCAGAAGTACGTCATTGCAGAATGCGATTTTCGTTTCTTCGAATACTTCCTGTTGGATTTCTGTCCATGACCACTTGCTTTTTCCTTTGAGTAATTCCAAGAGCGGTACTATCGTTTTACTATCGCGGTACTAACAACTCTTAGTTGTTTTAAATTCTTCGGCGTTGGATATTCTTGGATCGCCTTTGTTTTTTCGGGATCCTTGTGGAGTTAATATGTGACCCAGGAAGGTAACCCTTTCTCTCATGAACTTTGATTTCTTGAATTTGAGAGTGAGTCCATGTTCCTGCAGTCTCCTGAATAATTCTTCCAAATGTTTTAGGTGCTCCTCGAAGGATGATGATATACAGAGGATGTAATCGACGACATTTATAATGTGATCGCCGATTCCTCTGAGAACTGGTTATAATCCTTGGACCAAGCTGGCTGTGCTTCTTTTGAGTCCGAAGAGCGTTACGGTGAATTCGTAGCATCTACCTCGGTGTGTGAACGCAGTATACTTGCATGAATCTGGGTGCAGTGGCACTTGCCAGAAGCTGCTGGTTAAGTCGAGTGAGGACATTATTTTCGCGCCTCCACATTGCTGGAATAGTACTTCCGTTGGCAGCATGATCTCGTGGTCTTCCACTAAGATGCTATTCAGTCTTCTCTAATCAAGGCATAGTCGAATTCTTCCGTCTTTCTTCACGACTGACACCAGGGGATTGACGTACGGACTTGTAGATCGCTGGATGATGCCATCTTTGAGCATTTTTTCTATCTCGGCGTCTACTTTTTTTCGGTAGGCCATCGGCACTGGATAAGTTTTGGTTGTGAAGGGTTCATGATCGATAATTTGTAGGCCATGCTGGTAGGATAATTATATAATAAATAAAAATGATGTCTAAGTTATCGTAACGGAATTTCAAATGAAATGAAATGCTATAATAATAGTTAGCCAAAATTATAAGTATAATATTTACCCAACCATACAATTACGATAAATTGTATCACATGAAGGTGTCCGTTGCTCAAAAGTAGTTTTGTATCCACCATCCGGTATATTATTTCCTTTTGTAGTGTTAATAGGCTTCCAATTCCATTCATATATCTGTTCGTAAAATACTTTCTCATCCTAATAAAATGAAAAGGTATTTTTATTAATTTATAACTAAAACTTATTAATTAGACATTTTAGTAGTAATGAATTTTCATCAACACACAGGGAAGGTCACCTTAATGACATAAAACGATATAGAATTCTTCACATTGCAGATAACTACAGTTAATAAATGTTACTGATGTGACATCCAATTAACGATTATACACGATCGGTGTATTGATAGTTAGAGGATGATCACAATGACCTGTTTAGGGTCTAAACTTTCGAAAATTAACCCGGGATCGGCCAGTTACTTGCACCCTATATCGTTGACGGTCATGAGACTGTTCGTACAGATCGAATTATTATCGACTGCGGATAGAAATTTAAATCCACAATAGGAAACCTTTAGGAAAACTGATAAAACTGAACTTCTACTTACGAAGTGCTGCACTTGACCATGAATTAGGAAATTTCGTGATGATTGAACAGGGACAGGAGTTGGTTTAAGAATCGAATGAAGATTGTTAATAGAACATTTTGCAATAAAGTTGCGTACAGGAAATTAGAGTTTCAACACAATAATTTAATTTAAAGGTAAAATAAGATAACTTACGTTATTAAAATAGATTTTTAATACGCTGTTTAACTGTTGAATTCGAATTTGGAATCGGCGACAAAAGACTTAAAAAGATTTTTAGAATTTGTAGTGTAGCACCTGTTCTCGGATTCCTTAAGATTGAGTCACGATAACTAGACCCGGAAACAAAAAGTACCTTCGCTCGATCGGTCCAATATCTTCGAATCCGTAAGCGACATATAAACCTGAGAGATATGCCGGTGGGCGACAGGCATTCAGTGAAGCCACGAGGAAACGGTAACGAGATGCACCAAGATAGCGATAAGAGACAAAAATCTAACGATACTAGGACCGATGCGTCGCGGAAGTCTGACTAGCACAGCCCCGAAAGGTATAGGAGAGGTTAATTAGGAAGTAATAGCCGTAAGCCAGTTTTACGTAACCAAAAACTGAACAATTTATTTTCCCTAACTATGAGACATAAATGATAACAACAGAAAACCCGACAGAGATACGAAAAAGGCTACCAGAGGTAGTCGCGGTAATATTTAGTGATTACAGATGTTGGTAAAGGGCCAAAAGGTAGCCGATAGCCCTTACAGGTAACGAGCGTAGTTCTTGGTACACGGGCCCAGAGACAGGTAGCGGAAAGAGTACGTACACGCAAAAAGGAATTTGATAAAGAAGTACTCACGGCCTGCGAGAAGACGTAATGTAACGAACGCGCGAATTCCGGCTAATACGCCGATTACACTATTACGCTTAAATAGTCCCCTTTCGCATTTCAGGTAACACAAACAATCCAAAGGATAAAAAAATAATTCCATGGGCACAATACTTAAAAAAAAAAGAGGGTAAATCAATGGTCAAACGGTAAGATCACCGCACAGTCATATAATAAAGAAAACACGGAAAATCATAACAATAACTATTCGATACGAGACCAGACCGCGTGGTCGACCCTCGGATAGGCTCCGATTACTAAGAGAGTTTATGCTATTCTCGGCAGCGTGAAATGACTTGCCGACTGACTCCTATTCTCGTGAATTTCAAGAGTCCCAAGGACTGAGGTAGACGCGGCGGGATTTATGCTATCTCAGGTAGCCGTTCTTATTACTATCCATACGAGGAAATCTTACATGCGATCCGATCAACCAAGAAAACAAAAGGTACGTTAACGCTCACGAAAATATCCGGACAAGTGTACTCACGCGAATTAATAGAACGTAGAATAAAATAAAACGAACGGACAGGCTCTTCGCCGTGGCCGTAATCGGGGAAACTACCACTACTGGAAATTACACTTCACTCGCGAACTAGCATAGTTAAATTAATAATCCGGCCACGAAGCTCTTCAATGGACGCTTGCTTAGGCCGGCGTTAGTCAACCTTTCGCTACTAGGTAGCGTGTAACAATATTACTCACGTAGGTAGCGTGAAGAGTTTCGTACTCGGTTACAAGGAAGAGTGCTTACCAGATAATAGAAGTAATGATATTCCACAGAAAGGAAGCTTTCGGTAGATTTTCTGGAGCAGTGAGGAAACGTCCACTTAGTAGAAAGGTCCACGATGAAAGAGGACGATTACGTTTCTTTTCGCGACACCCGGGGTACTATCCTCCCACCCGATCCTCAATTTTTGCCGATTACAATTGATTAATTATTCATCGCGATTACTTCCGCCAATCCTAGATGTGTATTGATAATATATCGCCAGGATCTAGTATCATTACTTCTATTAGGTAGCTTTAAACGTTCGAGCGGTTGCGTGCGCATCCGTCGCACAGTCCTCTGGGTAAAAATAGTACGCTAGTGCTTCGATAGATGGCGGTACTGGCGTCCCCCGTGTTGCCATGCCGCTGTCCGCATGTTATTGACGCGAAGTTTGGATAGTGTATTCGTCGTGCCGTGCTTTTGAAGTTCTGCTGAGATGCTCCAAAATGGTGTTACATCCCTTCGAGCCTCCGTACTTGACCGGACATTGCCGATGCGGGTACCCAGGTTGGTTAGCGGCTACAGGTAGCGTATGAATCTTGACTGCAGGTAAGTGGTCTTTTCCTATGATCCGTATTTTACATTTTGATAACTCTCCGAGTGACAGCTTCCCGTGCCTTGCAGGTTGCTGACCGGGTCCTCGCTCCACGACTTTGGGAAAATCCTTATCGTGCCCACAGGGCACAACGATCCCCTGGAAGGAGAAATGAAGTTGCCCTTCACCTGGGTATTTCGAGTGTTCCTTCTGAGCGCAGTGAATCTACGTGTGATTACGCCGGACTCGCATCCCGATGTCAGGTAACAGGAATACCTCGACGGAGACAGCAGGAGTTTCGTGACAGGCGAACAGGTAAGACGGTAATCCCTTCACAGGGAATTCTGACGCTGGTAGCGGCTGCGATATTGGTGGTCTGCGTCGAGCGGTTTGAATTTGGCGGGCTCTAGCAGTGGTAATCGGGTCGAGCGGTCGGTATAGCAGTTCCGCCGCGGTCGGTAATGTCGTCCCACGCAGGTATCCAGCTTCACAATTTTCCGTGTGGGTGAGTGTAGGCTCATTCATAGGTATAGATTAAAATTAGATATAATTAATTTACAGATCTTATATTTTCTAGGTGGCTCCCCGACCCTCACCAGTGGCCGTTTATCCTAGAGCGAGCTGTAAATCCAGCCCGCACTCCAACTTCCCACGACTCTACTTTTGTGGCGTGCATTTTTGAAAATGCAACGTCACAGTACTTAGATCTTTGTTTTGAGTTGAAGTTTTATAGAACGATCTACTTTGTCATCTGACTGAACCTTTTTGACTTCCAACTCATGACTGGACTCTATGACTGCTGATTCGAAACTGATTCTAGATCGAGCTCATCTTCCTTTTGTTAGATGATTTCGTGAAGACATAAATAATAACTTTTAATTGACCTGTACTAACTTTTAGGCCTTGATCACTATGTGGGGGTTTACCCTCTATTTCTTGACCTTTTCTTATTGTATGCTTTCCCCTCGGAGAAAAGCCGGGCATAGTCGTGCACACGGAGCCCGAGCGAAGTTCGGTGGTCCAGACATTCGGTACGCTGACCTGCTAAGATCTCCGCCAGGAAAGAGGTTCGCCTTTAGAGCTGATAGGGCTGCGAACCGCGTCGCGAGGAACTCGCGAACCGTTGGTAGTGCAGGCTAGAGACGATGGAAAAGGTTCACCCTGTGGTCCTGGACGGAGGGCCGCGATTGCCGTTGGGGAGTTATCGTATGCATCGTGACGGTTTATACTGACCCCTTTTCTTCTTATTGGAATAAATGAACAATTTAAACTTCAAACGGCGTTTTCATCGACATACCCCGAACTGTTCGATTCTCGTCGCCCCCACGTTCCCTTCTATCATTTTCAACTAGCTGAAGCTAAGCAACCGGGAGACCGTGAAGAAGCGGCCATAGAAGGGAACGTCGGTGCGAACAGTCCGCACATGGCGCCCAACAGTTAGATTTTCGGATCTTTTTCGGATTTCAGCACGTTGGGAGCAGCCGCGTATTATTTGTAGGCGACTCTGGTGGACGGCATACGTCATAATACATATATTTTAATACGAATTGGTTAAACGTTCTATGAAATCGGATTCTACAAAAATAAGTGTATGCTACATTAACGAACGCGGCAGACCAGTCGCTTCTCCCCTATAGGTAAAAATAGAAAATAGATTATTTTATTGATGTTTAGTTCTTGAGTCATCATAAATTCGTTCAAACGTCTCTTGTTGGTAATACGAAATAAATTTAATGTGTTTGTGTGGATTAATATTTACTATTGATATAAAAATAAAATGTATAATACAGTCGACTCTCCCTAAGAGTACACGGTTGGGACCAGAATTGGGTGCTACTAGACACCATGACCTTGTAGGGAATACCCCACAGCCGCGCAACATTCTTCCCGCAAGTTGCTAGACGACTTTTGGCGTGCATGCGCACATAGTTAACTACCAAATAGACGGGATAATATCTTCACCTCTCGGACTTTCGTGCACAGCAGATTCAGGGAACTCTGTTACTACAGAGCGTGCTGTTAGGGAGAGTTATAAGTATATTTTGTTCATCGATGATGTCCAGGTAATCTGAAAACTCTGCAGTAAAATAAGAAATACAGTAGAAATACATTTATCCGAGGTAATGTGGGGAGGAAATACCTGGGATAAGCGAAATCTCGGAAAATACGGTAAACATACACAATTCAAAACTTTTAATATTTTGATATATTTGAAATAGTAACATAAAATTTAACCACATCAGCATATAAACGTGGGAGTCTAACGAACGTTCGTCAATCTTTGGTGTACATAAAGAAGCGTTAGTTGCTACTAGCGTGGCTTAAGAATGCAGTAATAGCTCTTTCAACTTGCTAATTCTTTTTCTAGCTGCAATATCTCGTCATGGTTTCATCAATAAGAGGTCACTTGCAGTACTTTCCGACTGTTCTTTGACATATTTAAGAGCTCATGTTCAAGCTCATTTAATCCTTGTTCGTGGTTAATTCGCGGACTTTCTTCCTTTTCGTTGTCTTCTATTTCGTCTCCAGTATTTTCGAATTGGCCAATTTCGTCGTCAGTAAGTTCATGTTCACGATCGTCCCCCCGTTTCTCTCGACGTTTGCACAATTTGCTGCTTGAAACTATGCAAATCTATATCGTCTGCAATTTCATCGCTTTGGTTGTTAGAATGCAAGATTTTCGGCCATGATTTCTCGAGCGTGAGCCTTTGGATAGCATCCCAACCTTGAACTAACCGCTAAATGACGCTTTTCATGTTTATTGCAAGCAAGCACTCTTTAACATGTTAAGCGTCACACCGAATTCATATGCTGTTCCGTTCACGCCACAGTTAGCCGACAGGCGGGCCCTGCCGGGCCGCTCGCCGATAGGCGAGCCAGAGTATAAACAGATGTTTTAATAAATTACATAAATGTTTTTAAGTATTATATTGTTTTCCTTAAAGCATTGACCGAATAAAAACGATCCCGCCTAAATTAAACGTTCAGTCTCACAAGTACGGAAGGACCGACACGCGCGCGATGATAACACGAACGAAAAGTCTGCCGCCGGTCCGTTAGGGCCGGCGAGGCCTGAACGGAAAGTCTTGCATCGGTCCCTTGGGACCAGCGTGGCGCTTAACGTGTTAAGTGTACTACTCTCGCTACTTTTTTCCAGAATTTCTTGAAGTAAAAAACGTCGGTAATGACGTTTGAACGTTTCCAGTACGCCCTGGTCCATCGGTTGTCCAATGAAGGTCATATTTGGTGGCAAAAACTTGGCAATGATATTTTCACTTCTAAGAATCTACTCGTTCGGGTGCAATGAAGCATTGTCCAGTAACAAAATCGCTTTTCTGGGTAGACCATTATTTTCTCAAAAACCTTTCAACCGAGGGAAAACATTTTTCGAAAAACTATTGAGACGTTTCGTGATTTTTGAATGTACGGTTTGTGCACTGGGCAGGCGTCTTCAGTAACAATTTAGACACTGGAGTTTTTAAGATAAAAAGAATAATGATATATTCTCCTATAAGTTACACACTAGGTATCCTTAATATTCTATTTTGCTCTCTCTGACACATACACACACTTTATAATTGTCTCCAGCTTGCCAGTAGTACCATAGGCGACAAGAAGTGTTTTTGTTTGTGTACTCTCTCTCTGCTAGCCGTTTGGGATGGAGAGAGAGGTAGCTGGAATCACAATACAGCAGAGTGCACAATGCGTCCGAAGACCGTGGTCCAGTTGAAGGTGAGGATGATAACGATTCGGGATCCACAGGTGATCACGATGATCCCCGTCCGCCGAGCCAATTATCTTTGGAGTGGGGATGAGAGTGCTATCACCACAATGCAGCAGAGTGCACAATGCGTCGGAAGACTGTGGCGTAGCTGAGGTCTGGAGAGTGAGGATTCAGGACCCACAGATGGCCACAATGACCCCCGTTCGCTGAATCAATCACTGTAGGAAAGGGTGAGCTAGTGTCACAATACAGCAGAGTGCACGATGCGTCCGAAGACTGTGACACAGCGGGCAGTGATAGCAGTGAAGATTCAGAACCCACAGATAATCAGAATGATCTCCGTTCGCCGAACCATTCACTTTAGGGATTGGGAAAGAAGGAGCTGCGGCCACAATACAGCAGAGTGCACAATGCGTCCGAAGACTGTGGTCCAGCGGGAAATAGGTGTCGTAAGATCAAAACCCACAGATGGTCACAATGACCCCCGTTCGCTGTATCTTCACTTCGGAAGAGTTTTTGGTGATGTGGATTCTGGTGGGTTCTTGTCGTCTAGTGGTGCACAAGTATCTAGTTGATTAGTCTACAGAGACACGAATGAATCGAATGGATTCCTATCGAGGAAGCCGCTGCTTATATCCTCGATAGGCATACGTTAAAACTAGTGGGGATAACGATTTGTATCCACCCGAGGTGTTAACGTCGCTTTTTGGTTTCAATATTTTGATTGACGATTTGATTTCACTATTTGATTTGACTGATTCAATTAGCGGTTTTCTTCGAGTACCGGCTTACTGGTATTTCTATTGTCTTCGGCGCGTGCCGGCTTATAGCGTCTGGGCATTTGTTTGTTTTGGTTTCAGTCTGTCGACTGTATTTCGGATTCTAGTAATATTAAAAGTAATAATTTCTAATATTATATCCTCATGACTGTCGCTGTGACCAGATTCAAGGGAATTACGCAATATTAGATATTTAAAAGTCCTGTCTTCCCTTTCCTTTATCGGCGTCGCTGTGAGAGGTCGATAAGATTATTGAGGAATTCTAGGATTTGAGGAGTTCTCTCAGATACTGTTATGCACATCCACAGTGCGCTATGCACTCTTATGTGGGGCTCTTGACGTATCAATCATCGAGAATGGATGATTGGGAGGGAAACGCTTTTGGTTTCAGTCTGTCGACTGTATTTCGGATTCTAGTAATATTAAAAGTAATAATTTCTAATATTATATCCTCATGACTGTCGCTGTGACCAGATTCAAGGGAATTACGCAATATTAGATATTTAAAAGTCCTGTCTTCCCTTTCCTTTATCGGCGTCGCTGTGAGAGGTCGATAAGATTATTGAGGAATTCTAGGATTTGAGGAGTTCTCTCAGATACTGTTATGCACATCCACAGTGCGCTATGCACTCTTATGTGGGGCTCTTGACGTATCAATCATCGAGAATGGATGATTGGGAGGGAAAAAGGATAGAGGATAGGGTGGTATAAGGGTGGATCGTTACACTATTTTTGAAAAAGATCGCGATTTATCGAAGCACTCTTTTGATGCGTGTAGTGCACTGGCAAGGCTTCAGGTTTGATGTATTTGATCGCTCCAGGTTTAGCCGATTTCCCGATACATATTAGTGGCAGTTTGTGTGTTCCGGACGCATTACTGCATGCTAAAATGGTAATCATTTTTTAATTCTTCTTATACCCCCGAGCAACCGCGGCTTCTTTCAAGGCCCAATATCTTAGAAGGCATTATTCTAAAATTTAGGCCAGTATCATCGCAGTTATAAATTTGATCTCGCGAGTATCCTGTTTCTGCTGTAAGCTTCTCGAACATTTCTTTAACCCTTAGCGGCCACTGAGGGTAACTAGTTACCCCAGGATCAGAAAAAGTGAAATTAGAGGTCTAAAACCTTTGAAATTGATACAAGTAACGACATCTGCCAGTAGTAGATAAGTGTGAGATGTGACTCCATTACATAGGAAGCGGAAAAAACGCATGATGGCGCTTTGCGCGTTCGTTTTCTCGGCGTGGGGTAACTAGTTACCCCAATGTGGCCGCAACCGTTGCTCGGCACGGATCTTCTTGTTTTTGGATCGAGGTTTTTATGGTGTCAATAGACAAAATAAAGGTAAATTTTTGATATTCTTGTAAGAAAAAAAAATGTATGAATTTTTTATTTTCTTCAGATGTACAATTTTCGGACGAGAATTCAGCGGAGTGAATTGCTGGAAGAAGTTGCATGCTTGCATGACGTGTGTTGGTCAATAAAATAGAATTCAAAGTTTTTGTTCAAGTAACATAAAAATAATATTTTTTTTTTTCACTTTTCTATACGTAAATATGTATGTAGAAGCTAATAAAACACAAAAAAAATAAATTTTATGATTTGTAATTTTTTCATTTTTCCCTCCAGTAATTTTGCAAAATAAATATACTTTTTGAATGATCGGCGGATACCGTTATTTTTTTATGGTAGTGGTATATGTTGTGCGTACAATCCTCAAATTGTAGCCCTTAATATTGAAAAATGGCAGAGTAATGAATTTTTTACTGAAAAAAAAACATTGTTCCTGAATTTTCACTAATTTAACGTCAATAAAAGATGGGTTGTAGAAATTTAATACGCGAGGAAATTTGGATTTGCGACATATTATTACAAATAAATCAATAACTTTCAATAAATGATTATTGTTTACAGTGTTTGTTTGGTTGGATAATGAGAAATTCGGAATAGAGCTTTTAATAGTGAATTACAAAGTCTGATTATATGTGAGGATAAGATAAAAAGAATTTAGTGGAACAGAAAATGTCTAGTAGACGCGTTACTAAAATCTGGAAAAGCCAAATCTGTGCAGCTCAATTTTGCCCGGTAACCGATCCAGCTTGTTCCCTTGGGTATGTAATAATGATTCTGTATGTAGGGCAGATTACGAATATTACACTGGATCTAATACTCTAACGGTTAGAGCCACAAGTGACAATGTGTAGTCCGATCTTTGTAGTCCTATATAATCTTTCTTTAATGATGCTCTTAGGTATTGTTAGGATCTAAGGAATGCAGTCAACTAAACAGTTGGGCAGATGACACGAGCAATGCACTGGGTATCGTGCTGAATCTGCAATTCCAGTGAGGCTACTGACTGTTGGCAATGGTATACTGTTTAAAAAATTATAGTTAATGCTACACGTAAAATTACAATTTCATGGTAAATGCGAATTCCGTGTGATTATGAAAACAATATAGAAATAATAACGGCTCAAGAATCGTACCTCACTTAATTCTGTTTGATTGAGAAAAGTCCAGTTTACGCAAAGCATCATTCCGGGGAAATATTGATCCGCAAATTCAGTTTGTTCGCTAAAGCCGGTAAAAGTTGGCTCTGTTTGAAACTTGTTCCATACTATGAAGATAGTTCCGAAGGCTGCTGCTGTTGACAATATAGTACACAGCAACCACACCAACCTGTAAAGCCACTGCCATTACGTTTTTGCAAAAAATTTATTAGAAATACTTTATGCTTTACTGGAGAGGACCCACTAACGCATAGGCCAATTGGACACAAATGACTTTTTACTCCAAATTCTGTACACTTTTAAATAGATGGAATAGAATTAGGTAGGAACGATGTCTTATTATAGTATATTGTATGTAGTTTAACATTAGTTTACGCTAGGTTTGGTTATGTAAGGTTAGGATAGGGTGGAATGTTCAAATGTCGGAGACTGGGTAGGTTAGTGGATAAGTATATCGACTAAAGAGATCATTAAATGTTTGAAAAGGCTCCGTCATATAAAGATAACTTACAATATCGTTGAAAAACTCGTGCAATATCGCTCAGGAGGCAGAAATTCGCATTTGTGTCCAATTGGGTTTGTGCGCAATTTGGCATCACCCTGCGTTACTTAGATATGCTTATAAAATTTAAATCATTATTATATACTATAAAATCTGTTAGATAAAGCTAAGTTGTGTTTACAATAATTAAATATAATATGGGTAAGAACTCGTGCGCGGGGCTGCTAGATAGAGAGAATTAAACTCGACAATAGATATGAAATTGTAAAAACTAATTTGTATTTATTCTAAGGTACCATTTACAAGAAAACTAGTCTTATGGAAATAGTGTTCCCTGCGTTATTGAGAGAACTGATCAAGAATGTCCATGTATACGCCAGAAAAGTAACTTTTATGGTGGAGATACAAAATGACCGCTGCCGACGAATCTTAAGCTTATGGATGGGAGGGTCTAGTTACATAAGTACAAACAGGTACATTGATCGACTTCACTTTTTTAATTCATTTGCATCGTAGACATCATATTGCCAACGTCACGTCATCCACAGGGATAGCGTTCGAGTCAAAGCGATCGGACGTATTTTACTCTGTTACGCAGTGACTGTGCCCTTATTTTTTTTACTTGTGGACTGTTTTCGTTTTTCGTGTGTGATAGATTGAAAACGAACTTCAGGCTGGTGTGTTTGTTTACACGGGTCTTCTTGGGCCTATCATGTGATCAACAAGCTAGCGTAGAGTACTTTAGTCACTCTCGGGATGATCGATTGGATCCTCTCACGGCGAACGAAAGGAAATCATCACAGAGCCTAGTTGAAATACCTTAACGACGCTTAACAGTGCCTCTGAAAAAGTTGCGTCCAAATGACAATGATCAACCAAGAACCGACGACCTTGAAGATTGTGTGAGCATGACGGTGGAGGGGGAATACCCTCAAGAGAGGGTCTGTGCGGGTGCGGCTGGACGAATCAGAAGAAGAGGCGACAAGACTTGGAACGTAGCAACAGCAACAAGAGGAGACCACGGCGGCGAAATCTCCAACACGGTCACTTCGACCACCCCCCAATAATTGCCACAAACGCGAATTTCCGTGAATCGGAGGATTATGTCTCTACGCTTGCGCGAACTCTCATGGCATAATAATACTAAATTTCGTCACTCACGAGATTCAAAAACTGCGTAATACGTACGGCGACGTTATTCCCCAAAACAAAAATCTCAATAAACGAAACTAAATAAACTATAGGCGATGTCTGGAAAGTAGGGAACCGTATACAAAACGCCGTATGATTCTTTCCCAATAAATTTCGATATTCGCAAGACCCGGTACGCGATAAACTAAATTTTATTGGGCACCAGGTGGTGTCAGGGGAGAACACCCCGAGTGCAGTGCGCTCGAGATTTTATAGATCCCTTAGTCGGAAGCGAGAAAACGGAGAACAACGAAAGGGTAAAGGAAACAGGTAAGGCCACACCGCCAAGGGAAGAGAATAGGAACTATAGGAACAGCGGCTCCGCCAAAAAGAAAAAAGGTAGATCGATAAATGGCGACTCCGCCAAGATAGGGAAGAGAAAATCAGTAAATGGCGAATCCGCCAAGCTAAGAAAGAGAAAAGATAGTAAACGGCGACTCTGCCAAGAACATAAAAGGACAGATTCACAAACGGCGACTCCGCTAAATAGGTAAAATGAATAAAACACGAAAACGGCGACACTGCCAAGAGAAGAGCGAAAAGCAATAAGGAAAGCGAGAAGAACGGTGGCGTTGTGAGAAGGTGTGTTTAGTGACAGTGTACAAAAAGCAAACGGTGTGAGGGGGAAGAGATGGGCAAACAGGCAGAGGATGTATAGTGTTAGAAGAAGGAATAGGGAACAAAGAGAATAAAGCAGCATAAATAGGGTAAGGAGGTAAGGAGAGAGAGAGAAATCAATTTATTCGATCTGGGGCTAGGGCCCCGTAAACCGGAATACAAAAAAGCGAAAAACTTACAGCTATTTACAACTAGTCGAGGTATATTACTATTTACACTATAGAGAAGTATATACATTATATCTAATAGGAAACCAATGACTAATACTAGGGATCACTGCGCAGTGAGACTTATTGTAATAGCGCAGAAATGTAAACACTGTATCCATTGATAAGACCGCTGACCCAGGAATCGAGTAGAAATGAAACATGAAACATCAGTGCGTGACAGCGGGCGCTATTGACGGTAGCATGAATTGGTGCAGACGTGACTTAAAAGTGCGCTGGGAGGTAGAGTTCCTGACTGCATTTGGAAGCGAGTTCCAGAACAAAGCAGCAGAAACATAGAAAGAGTGTCTATAGAACTCAGTGCGATGAATGGGAACGATCAGGTCATTTGCTCGACGCACCGTGCGCACTCCCGCCGAGGACGCGGATATAACTGATGTCACCAGGTAAGTGGGAGAACCCATGTTTATTATCTGATATACTAAAAGGCCCAGGTACTTAAGACGGCGCGAACTGACCGTAAGCCAGCCGAGCTCCGCGTAGTACGGGGAGATATGTTCATCTCTTTTAGCATCAAAAATGAAGCGAACGCAGGAATTTAAGGCTACCTGGACTCTATTGACGTTAGACGCCGCAGTTGCTCCGTATATAATGAGACAATAATCAATAATAGGAAATATCAAGGAAGATACAAGAAACTTCCTCAATTCCATGGATGGTGAGTTTCGATTAGTCTTTAGCAGGTAAAGGGTCCTCGCAATTTGACTACAGACATTTGTTGTGTGTACATTCCAGGAGAGAGCACTATCAACTGTCAGTCCGAGATTCCGGGCCGACGTGGAGTAAGGAATTCGCGTACCGTCAGCGGAGAGATAAGGTAAGCAATCAAAAGCTATCTGGTTAATGTACCTTGCACTATCCAGAATCATGCAGCGAGTCTTAGACGGATTGACGGATAGACAGTTTGATACTGCCCATTCGCAGATGGAGTCGATGTCACGCTGGACGAGGACCAGCGCACTGGCCAGGTCGCACGGCTTAATATGTAGGTATATTTGCAGGTCATCAGCATGCAGTATATGGTCGCAGTTTGCAATGACGTCAGGAAGTTCTCTAATGTACAGTGAGAAAACAGAAGGACCAAGCACGGAGCCTTGCGGCACGCCCGATGTGACTGGGAGATAGTTGGAAATGGCCCCATTACGACCAATCACAGCCTACAACCTACCTTGTAAGTAGGAGGCGAACCAAGAGGTTACAGAAAAGGAAAAGCCCGCAGATTTCATGACGACAAGCAGCCTACGATGGCAGATGGAATCAAAAGCTTTACTGAAGTCGAACAGGATCAGTATAGTTACCATACGCGCATCGGCCGCGAATCTAATGTCGTCAATGACGCGTATTAGGGCTGTCTGAGTGCTGTGACCTGCACGGAAGGCAGACTGACGCGGCCCGAACCCACCCCTACTGCGTAGAAATTCAACCAATTGCTCGCTCACAATTCTCTCCAGAGGCTTTGACATAGCGCAGAGAAGAGAAATAGGACACCATTCAGATGGAGACTCCGGACGGCCCCGACCTTTAGGAATAGGACGTATCCAGGATCACTTCCAGGGAGCAGGGTATGTAGAGGTTGTAAGAGAACGGTTTATTAGGTCCAGAAGGAACGAAAAGACTAGACAGAGAGAGAGGGAGAGAGAGAGAGAATCAAGCGATCGACAAGATCTTCAAAAGAATATACCCGGTTCAGAGGCTAGCTCACCTGGGAGAGCGTCATGGCGTTCAAGAGGCTAGCCGGGAGAAGGAATAGGCATGCGATAAAAATAATAGGTAAAAGAAAGATAGCAGAGAAAAATAGGTAAGTTTAACGCACCGAAGTTACATTAAAGAAAGCGAAAGAGCGGCATGGAAGCTATACAGCAAACTACAGTGGGTTGAAAGTAGAAAATCAAAAGTAAGTTCTGAAGCGATATGGAAAGTGGTTGATAGAATCCCATACGAGAAAGCGAGATTCTCCAAGGTGCGAAAGATTGAAATGATATACCAAATGTTCTTATACTAATTAGACAAAGTGATAGGGTCTTGAGGGATTCTATATAAACTAAAGTTCTTAAGCTAAACGCGAAACTAGCGAGGGACTACGGCCCTGTTGGCGATACGATACGGCAGCGGAACGAATCCACGCCGACGCAAAAGGTACTCTAGGCGATATCTCAATAAATATGAGAATATAGAATAAAGGCGAGAACAAATTATGTAAATTCGAGTCGGTACGAAAATAAGGAACAATTTCACTCACGAAGTATTTTGACAATTGGAAAGAGTCAACAGATGAAAGTAGTTACATACCACTTCTGGCCGTCACAACAAACCCCCACCACTGTCCCCTGTGAATCACGGAGCGCGCAGCGCTCTGACCCCCCGTACCGCACTATGGCGTCATCCCCTCGCCAATGCGATCTGCTCTCCCCACAGCCAACCTATGTTGTTGCACCCCCACACCATGCGGACCTGGTCCTAAGGCCCGAAACACAATAGCGGCGGCGTTGCATGCCTCCAGGGGCCTACCACGGTCGGTAATTATGGATTGACCGCCGGTCGGTAACTTTTTAATTCTCCTAAGGAGATAAGTGCACCCGTGGTAAAATAGAACACCGTATTTTGTAAGATACATTATGTATATTATATGCAGCGGCGTTGCATGCCCCCAGGGGCCTATCACTGTCGGTAATTATGCATTGACCGCTGGCCGGTAACTTTTTAATTATCCTAAGGAGATAAGTGTACCCGTGGTAAAATAGAGCACCGTATTTTGCAAGACACATTATGTATATTATAAAGCTGTAGCGCATGATACATTTTCGATTATTACCGTATTGTTGACGCCAATCTGCTTTAAGTCGTGAAAACGTATCCTGATTAATTGGTAAGGTCTGGTCCCCGATTCTGCCCGTTTCCCAAGCCGCGTGACATTCTCCGAACAATGATGTAATCAGGGTTCAGATCGCCTCTGAAGAATGTCATTATCTCGGCAAAGTGAAAATCCCTGCAGGTGTACAGCGGCGTCGAATAACAACGTACAGCGGAATACGCTTAATGCTTTATAAATTATTGAGAAGATATGGGGAGATGGAGG